TACTCACTTTTCTTTAGGATTGGTTTGTTATGGACTAAACAATTTTAATAGATATCAACACAGTGTAAAGCACTTAAGTGTATAGCTAGCCTCAGGTACACACTTCCATTTTCTTGATGTAGGAGAATGTATATTTAAAATCATGGGAATGCTTAACAGTTTTACTGTGCTAGTCTTCCTGGTGCTTTCGAGGACAGACACATGGACAGCCAAGCTGTCTCACTGCTTACTGAGTGGTTCAACATGGTGGTGTGATGAACAGTAACAGAGACTCTCCAGAGTCATTGGCGAGAAGTGAGACTAATGATATCAGGTTACTTCCCACAGGAAGGGCCTACAATGAAGAACAAGGTGTTTATCTGACATGAATGGTTGGAAGATTACATCATTGGACATACACTGCACCCACGCACTAACACCTGCTACACCCAAAGTGGTCCCTGTTTAGCATCTGCTTTTCTGATGTGGATGCATTGTTCTGGCTGAGCTAACCTGAAATGATTTAGGGAAGCATCCTGAGCATTGCTGAGCAGAGATAGCACCACACACGGATATAAAGCTATTGTTGAGACAATCTCTACATGGGATGTCCTGCCAAACAGTCCCCTTCCCTTCCTCTTGTCATTTCCTTGTTCTTCAGCCACTGAAGAATGACAATCCCTTTATTTGTTTATGTGTAAGCTGGTGACTCTCCAGACCTGCTAAAAAAGACATTTGACTAGAAGACTCTTCTGGAAAGAGGTAGCAAGAGAAGCTGGAAATTTCTTTCCTGAATGATGACTGTGTGGCAGTTGGATTGGTCTCATTGGACCTGAGGATTTTAATATTGCTATGTTTGGACAGACAGAGTCGGAATATGGACAGCCCTGCATTGACAGCTGTAAACAAAACAGAAAACACTACAGCAGCGTTTATTCTTCCCTTTTATTGAAAGTTTGTTTTCAGTATCTGGTTTTGACCAGCTTTAGAAACAACACATTTGCAATGCCTTGCTCATCCAAAGCAGCAAGCTTCTGACATTTTGTTCACAGCACACAGAGAAAAGCAGACACGTAACTATATATGAAGGGAAAAAACCATTTTGCATAGCTAGTCATCTCAGTTTGTGAAAGAAAAGAAAGCACTGCTATACAAAGATGGGGGAATTATACAGGCCTTCATGATTTCAAGGCATGTGGAAATCAACCACCCACTTTACAGACATGAAAAGAGGAATGGTTTTCTCACTGCTGAATCGAGTGTTGTCTCAGCTTTTATAGAGGAACTAATCTTGGACTTTAGATGACAAGCTATTATTCTTGCCCCTTGCAATCTAATGTTTAAAGCATGTGCCCCTGATGTGAAACCAGGTGCTGCATTTCAAGCACATATGAAGAATATGGTGCCTCAACAGGAGAGTCAAATCTGCTAACTAACAAACTGCTAATTGAACGTGGAGACACCTACAGACAGCACGTTCATTTCTGGTTCCAAAAATTTCCTAGAATGAAATGTGTAGTAATAAAATCTAGACACTAGGCACTTGAGTCAGGACTTCCTTGCCTTGCAAATACATTGGCTGAAATCGTTTTCTTCAACCTTTCTTTCCAGCCAATAATGGTTCTTTCTGTCTTTTCAAGACATTGGTTGGCCATGGAATATCCTATCGCCCCCCCCCCTAAGGCCTCTCTGGAGCCAGTTGGCAGGGTGCACAGGGATCATCACCTTCCCTAACACAACTGGCCATTGCAGAACAAGATGCAAGAGTAAAGGGGCCAGGGATGGCTCTGAAAGCTCACAGGGGAGACCTGGGTTGTTGTCACTGCATCAAAAACTGTTTCTCTACTTTATCTAATAATGTGTTTAGTGTAGTGACATTGCTGTGGCTTTAAGAGAGTAGTAATATCATGGTACATTTAGATGTGGTCACAGGCCTTGTCTTGTAAAACTGTAGGAGTCTTTCCAGTCCCCCAAATCAGCCACTGACACAGAGAAAGCAGCAGAGTGTCCTTAGAGCACCTCCTGGTAGCATTTCAATGCATTCTCTCTGCAGATTGGGTTCCTTCCCTGTCTTCCCCCTCCCATTCATTCCCTCAGGGTACTCCCTACAGCCCATCCCCCTTCAGTTCCTTCCCTTCCCCCTTTCTCCATTCATCCTTTGCCTTTGTGCCCCTCCATTTTCCATTTCATATCTCCTCTCTGCTTTCATGAGTGAAACTCTGCTCTTGTCAAAGAGCAGTCTCTTTGACCAAGTAAGAATGTGGGAATCGGAGTCTCTCAAGACAACTCAGAGCAGCTCTAAATTCTCCTAATATTGTCGCCCATGTGCATGTCACTAGAACTCTCCTAAATTCTGGTACTACCCTTCCAAGGGTCTTGGTAGAGCCTTGCTGCATATCACACAGAGCAAACTGTTCTGGGGACAGTCGCTCTTGAGCTCAGCTGTGCTTACATGACTTTTTCAGTTACTCCCTTAAGCAGTAGTAGTCGTAAGAGATTGGTGCTTGCCTCCTGTATCCACAGAGTCAGAACATCTCTATTTTCATCCAGCAAGGAACAGATGCATAGTTCTGACATTTGCCAAAAAAGAGGAAACGAGCCCTTCAAAGTAAGAGTTGTTCTTAAAAGGGCATGAAACTTAAAAACCACAAACTACCCGTGATCAGTTACTTCTCCTTTAACCGGGATAGTTGCTGGCACAGTGATTCCTTGATGTCTTGATACATGGTTTTTGCATTTCCCAAAAGGAAATGGGGGAAAAAAAAAAACGTAAAAATATGTTGCTTTAAAACAAAACAAGTCCTACCCACTTTTCCACCCCAGAATCCAAGTAAAAGGCTGTAGTCTTCATATAACAGATATACAACACATTTGCTTCATCAAAAGGAAACTACTGACTTTGTCATCAGTTTGATAATTTTATTAAAACCATAGGTTTCCATTCTGTACAAAAGAGAGGAGCTTTTTTTAAAAAAAAAAAAAATGTATTAACCACATAGGAAATAATGCAGTGTAAGTGGCTTGTTGACAAAAATCTGAAAGCTATATACAGGATTAATACCACAACACTGTATTGATGTAGAGACTGTCAGCAACTTTAGCAATATATACAAACTACCTTTACACACATAAATATCTTATTTACAGCTAATAAATAACATCCAAAGCTAAATCATGTGTCCTCATGTACAAGAACTTTCACTATTTTTGGATCCAAGTTCTGTATGTGTTTGTATTTGATCCTGTCATTAAGAGCACACCAGACACTATTTCCAAACAACTTAACACTTAGAAAAAAAATTGCAACAAAATGTGAAGTCTATAGGGAATAAATCATTGTATTTATTTTTACAGGTCTCAAATGCAGCGGCTCAATACTCAACCCCACCCTCAGTGACTGATTACATCTCTACTGTAGTTTTAAAGGTTAGGAAATCAAATGTGAGAAATTTCAGAGTTATTAATATTCCAACATATTGCACTGTTTAAGACTTTTATCCCCAAATATACTAGCAGCCACAGCTGGAAAAAAAACCCAAACTGTTCACATAAATGCATACATGTTGGTTTTGCTTTCAAGATGGGATGATATTGGAGAAATCACCACCTCCACACTGTCTGGCACATGCAGAAAAAGACTACAAAACCTACCATCAATAGCTCACATTACACTTCTCCAAGTCGCTACCTTCAAGCTCTTCTGCCTCCCCCATATTTTGTTTATCTTCTAGAAAGCTAAAAGAGG